TTCGCTAGAGCTAATTTACTAATTTATATGTCGCTTATGCAACTAATTTAAAAGTTATCAACGAATCTAACTGATTTGGAAAAGGCTATTTGCCCTCTAACTTATGATTTCAATGAGTCTAACTTGTCTCACCTCAAATAAGTCCATTAATTGTTCAGTGTGTGTTTCATATTGTTCAAGTTCTTTTGACAATTAATTAAATTTGATTGATCGGTTGTTAAGGCTTGTAAACTTGTTGTAAAGAGCATTTTTCCTCCAAATTTTGCTTATATATTCATTACATTTATATTTCACTTTTATTTAACAAAACTATAGTTATGTGAATTGCATAATTCGGAATGATTGAAGGATGATCAATTTTGTTAAAATATTGAAAATCTTCCTCTCCAAGGAGTATTTAAAAAAATCTATTTCGCCTTCCACAAAAATAATTTCCCAAGCGGTTGTTAAACACTCGCAACTACAATACTAAAAACGTCGGTGGCAGCAACTGTAAGGTAAAGATCCCGGGTTCGAATCCAGCGGCCCTGCATTCCAATCTGACATACTTACAAATGGGCGTTTTTTTCAGAAACAACGACACCCGAAGATTTACATGACCTGTGGTGTTGCAAACCCTCGTAAAAAAAATTACAAAAAAATAAAAATAATAATTATAAAGGGGTTTTGCCTTCTTATAGCCAAATTTACGTTCAATTTTATTTTTCGAATATTATTAAATGTTAAATCTTAATAATTCCTATTTTGTTTAAATTCTGCTTAACTGCTGGCTAACATGAGGGCTATTGCCGCTATTACCCCTGATATATGATTAATCCTTCTACGGGTGATAAAAATATCCAAGGTCAATTAAAATAGTTATTTATGCTATTTAAAAGATTATCTAACTTAAACTAACCAAAATCTGGTGGGTCCTAAGAGTTCACGACTTACTGCTGAGACCCCACCCTTAAATTAAAATTATGTTCAGCCTAAATCTACGGTTGGGACCACGGCAAGGCGATTTTCATCTTCACGCCCTCCCTTCATTCACGTCCAGAAATACATTCACTCACAGTAAAACATTCAACATAACAATTGGTTCGACAGGTCTGTGGATACTCAATATTCCACATTGACCATGTCCATACCCACTTAACCACTCACGCATATAAGTACATTCACACAAATGGACAGACACCAGTGCTTTTGATATTCACCCAGTAACTATCTACCTCTATCACACTGTAAATGTTTGTAAAACTAAATACCCTAGTCTAATTTGGTGTGTTTGTACGGCGATTCATTACTGTAAAGTAAAGGACCCGGATGTGAATTGAGAGCCGCTGGATATATCCAAAGGGCTTTTTTTTCCCCAAAAACATCTACACTCTGGGGAGATCAGGGGGACCTCTCCTGTTGCGAATACCGTAAAAAATTACTATTAAAAGTGTTTTTCCACTTTTTTAAGGTTTAGGCAATACAATTAAAATTAAAATAATTAAATTCTATCGGCTTTCTTATGATACATATATTGTACAGGTATTGGGGAGGAGGCAAAAAAAAATTGTAGTCATGAATTCGGCTTATTTAATTCCTTCATCAGAATAACAGTTTATCACTTAAATAAAAACAAATCGCATTAAAAAAGAAAGAAAACAAAATTAACGTCCCAGTGAACCTCAGAGGTAAAACAACTAGCAGTCCAAGAGGTAAATAGTTGTTCATCTGTGAGGTCCACGAGCGCTAAAAAATTCTTTTGATGCTATTAATTTTTAGTTAGGTTAAAAACTGCATTCTTGATGAAGGCATTAAATAGGCCGAAAGCATGACTATAATTTTTTGAGCTTTCTTTGTTGGCCTCTTTCCCGATACTCGTTCAACATATTTGTGTAGTAAGTTTTAACTGTATAAGAAGCGCAATAAAATGAGTTAGTTCGATTGTTTTATCGCTACTTATTTACTCTTCTAGAATTTTTCCCAGGCATTCATCTTCTTATTTTACTTTCACCAGACTTCAATATATTCTTTACCTAGTATGCATTTGTTAAAGCGGGATTTATTTAGAAAAAATTAAATTTGAAAAACAACAAAAGAAATATTTTTGATATCAAAATGTCTTTTCAAATAACCGTCGTCTTGCGACATTGTTGGCAGCTGTTTACATGCAAATGGTGGCTCCAAAATAATTAATTGACAAGGTATTGTTACTAAACGAGAATATGGAAATGGTAAACCCCGTGGACATAACATTTATCTTAATGGAGTGCAATGAAACACATTTCGTTTTATTCTTTTTACTTTATTAAGCTTTCTATAATACTTATTTTACAAGCTTATTAAATTATTCTAACATAGGAAAGGATTGGCCTGTCTTAAGAGGGCAGTCCTACATGAGAGAAGGCTTTGCATAAATTTTTCATGTGACTTTATAAGGTTTGACTTTTAAATTGAATTGATGATGAAAATGATCTTATTTTCAAAATACGTCAATCCTTTTTCCTTTTCTGAAATTCTTTGTAAAACTTCACCACGTTGATCGTTTATCTTTATAATTTTAGTACCAATGTGAACAGCATTATTTGCAATATCAAAAATCTTCTTGTTTATAAGAGGGAAGACTTGAATTACGTTAAATTCAAGCATAAAAGACCTAAGCATATATTGTTTGAAAACCATGTTGACAGGAAATGTGTGTCTGCCAATGAGCATGGTTTAACTAATCGCTGGGTTAATCAATATATAATTTGATCTTTATATGTTTAATTTTTTTAGATTTTCCATCCTTTGACTTATTTCTCAATTAAGTGCAGACATTTTTCGATCTGTTTTTATTTATGTTATACATGTTTTGTGACTATAAATTCATAAACTCCTTTTTAATGTTAACTGTGTCTTTATAATTTAGTACTATTTAGGTATGTACTAACGTAGTAGGTTGGGCGTCGGTGGTAAAGGCCCCTGGTTCGAATCCAGCGGCTCCGCATTCGAACCCAAAAGATTACAAACTTGTTTTTTAACACCGAAACCCCAAAGTTGATATGACTTCTGCTGTTTGAACAAATAGTAAAAAAAAATTGTAGGTATATTGGTACATCAATCAAGTGCANATGCTTAAATTTGAAAAATACCACAATGTTTTGTGTGTCGAACATCGTGGTCATCATTTGGGAAACAATTTGTAATGTCAAATGCGTGTAAATCTTTCAATGATTGGATAAAATTTGGAGTGGATAAAATAATTGAAAACGGAACAGTTCTATTCATCATCACCTGTGCAGTGATCGTCTATCCAATGTACGTTTTTAATTTGTTTCAAAACTAGCTCAACTTTGTTTTAACTAGTTTTTATTTAATTTTTATAATTTTAAATTAATAAAGCTAGTTATTTTATAGAGAATTTATTTATTTAATATGTTGTGTTAGTGCAAGAAATATAAAAGACAGACGTTTTTAAAAGGTTTAATCCGAATAATACTTTCTTCGGAAAATGGAAGTCACAGGGACATCAAAGACAGGTGAAATGATACGCAGTACATCTACTACAATCAGGAGGGGTTATGGATATTCCCATACCGTTTGAAAACTTATTAAATTAATCATTACAATTAATTAAGGTTTTTAGTTGAGATGAAATTCTTAAATATCTTCTATTAATTCTAAATATCTTCTATTAAATAAAGAATTTTTCGTTAAGTTTGACAATCTCTAGGATATTAAATTTTTAAATTAATTAAAAACTAAACTTTGAAGTATTTATCAAATTGGAGCATTTATTAAAGTGGCCAGAAAGTGCTTATCAGTAACAATCTTTCTTCACACTTATTTCTATTATATATAATATGTATTGTGACGTGTGCGGAACCGCTTTTGCCGAGTGGTTAGGCCGTTTCATTCGTATTTGCTGAAGTTGGGCAAATGGGTGTTATTCTGCGTAGTTGTGTCATTCTTGTATGTCGTGTTGAAAGTGCAATATCTCACTGGCACTCTACGCAGAAAACAAACACTTTGAGCCCTGAAGATGACCTCAATAAAGATCGAAACGTTGGCACGATAAAGAAAATGTTTTTCTAAAACCTACGTCACACCAGACCGCATATCACGATCTCCGAATAATCATCGACTAACGGTCACTAATCACACACACACACACAAAAAAAAAAAAGAAAAAAAAAAAGTTTTATTCTCTCTAACCAACCAAGAAATATTACATTACTTATAATGTAAATACTTGTATAAATATTCTCGTTTTTTACGATTATTTTTTAATTCTAAATATAATGATTGTTGAATAAATTTACAAATTAATATCACGACTAAGTCGGAAATGTAACGTAAACAAAGATACAAAAGTTTTATACATGTTGATAAAAAAAAAGTTTAAATGTTGACTGAGAGCCCTGAGGAAGGTGAAATAAAACACCGAAAGCTTGGCATAGTTTCATCAACAACATTCAACATTCATTGGACCCGATCCTGAAGGACATTGCACATTGAATGGGCATCTGAAGTCAATTGGTATAACATAAAACGGCACGTCCAGATTCTGCAAATAAACAGAGGAAACACAAACACACCTACTAACATACTGTAGCGCCACATTTACCCTCAGGAGGAAGTGCTTTGGGATGTACAACGTAATTGTAGAAAATATTCAACTACTGAAACCGGGCCTCAAATTCCTTGATAAGCTAGGACTTACCGGTATGCTGTAAGTACAGAGGGGGGGATACAATAGCTCTCAAATGACAGTATATTACACACCCCCAACATCTACATCTATCTCTACATTATTCAATAAACACTCATTCTTCAAGTATTCCAGAATGAAATACCTATTGACACATTTTAAGAACTGAAGGCAAGGTAAGATTATAAGTGAATCTGTGCTTAAATATAAATAAATGCTGTTTCGAGAATGTCGGCAAAAAAATTCTTTAAACACAAAAACACTTTTTATCAACTCTTTTGCATTCTACGCGTGATAAATATGCGCATTTATGTAAAATAAATGAAATTACTTGGCATTTTTGGGCCGATCGTGATGGTCGTCTGTATCGTATTGTGGATAGTGCTGAAGGTGGCATTGCGGCTGAGGCAGAAGATGGTGAGTTGGTGATGTGTGCGATCCGTAGCCGTCCGAATTAAGCTGTAAGCAGATAAACATTTTAGCCAATGTAGGCGGTCTTCTTAAATCTTAAAGATATTTTGAGTTTGGTTGGTCTACTTTCAAATATATTGGCCATTGAAATTGTGAAATAATTATTACGAGTTACCTTAACGATTGTAGGCACGCCCTGGCCATCTCCAGGGATCTCCAGGATGTCGGAATCCACCGGCTCCAGGAGCAGGTGTTCTGAGCCACCTTGAGTGAGTAACCTCTCTTTCATTTCGTGGAGATAGGGACACCTCTGCATCCTATCTTCTGTAACAGATAATTAACATTGCAAACTAAAGTTTTATTGGTAAACAAGATTTGTTTCTATTGACAATGTATCATTAAATTTGGTAGTAACGACATAAAATTTTAAACAATCCATTATATTTAAACTATATCACACATGGTACGGTATGGTATGGTAACAGAGAAACCATATTATATGGACTATTTGTAGAAATATTTCTTAAAAATTTCCCAAATAAAAACCCACACTTTATGAGACTGTAATATATAATTACAAACTAATAATACAAAATAAAAAGGTAGGTTGTGAATTTCTATAGATTCGAAAAATGAATTCATTATGGATAGCCAGTTGCCAAATAAATTTTTTAAACCATAGTTTGTCCTGTGAAAAGCACCACAAAATATGTTTTAGTCCTAGTTCTATTCAGCCATGTGATAACCTATCAAATCAAACAGTGCTCGACTGTCAAGATTAAACAATTTCCAAATAAAACCAACTTCCAAACAGCAACCTTGATTCTGAAGGCAATTGTGCGAAATTATCAAACCAACAATCTAAGGACAGTCACCAGCACCAATGAAGTGAACCAAGTGCTTAATTAACAATTACATTATTTTATTACAATTATCAAAAGCATAAGCACGACTAGGATACCAGACGAGACAGACATAAACCGTATTACTCTGTATTAGCGGAATTAATTCTTTCATTCACTGCAATCCTCGAGAAGTCACCAGTCTTTCTACGGATAAAACCAACCAGTCTAAAACATTTGGAAAACACCGAGCGAATATGTTCAGAAAAAGAACTGCTACTAAAAAAAAACCAGAGATCACATACTGATAAGACCAGATATTTTCTGGCTCAATATATTATAACAAAAGTCATACTATGTGAGAAATTATGTATCTACTCATTATTACAGTATGTAGCGTAAAGTCATATATAAGGACTGCTGCAAGTAGAAAAAAAGGTGAATTTCGTTCGAACAGGTTGACTGCACTTGGCCAGAATCACCTCAATCGTGTATGTTGTATGAACGCATAAATAGTACAACAGATGTGTCTTTCATTCAAGAAGTAATTCATATGTTTTGTATTGTTTGCCCATCTTCAACCTTGCCATATTTGCGATCCAAATATATTTCAATTGAATCGAAAATATTCATGCCTCCACTATAACCCATACAGTAGCCCAACTATGAAGAGGTGAGATGGCCTGTAGTAGCCCATATTGGTCAGGGTTGGAAAAGATGTTGGGGAACGTTGGCTTTGGGAGCCAACACGCGCGAACAAAATGGACAAGAAAAGTAAGCAATTATAATAGGCCATTGAGGCCAAGCTGGCCCAATCTTGGTGACCAATGCAATGGCCTGTCATGGCCCAAAGTGAAGAGCCATCAGATGTAATAGTAGCCAAGGCATGAAACGAAATATGAAGTGGCTGCTTTTGCAGGAAAGACTATCCGTTTCCATTCATACACAGAAATATCATCAGAGGTTTTCGAGTAATGATTATAAATTTATTCCAGTTACAGAAATGCCTTTTACCTTGGCTCCTTACAGAGAGCGTATAGTAATGAGAAATGGGTTATAGAACTCATTGGGTTTCTGGGCCACTTCCAAGGTTAAAAAAAATTAAGGGATATATTTAATTATAAAAAAGATGACTTTTTAAAATTAGTTCTGATGACGATGCAACAATCGTCCAATTATGAACAGACAGAACTGTTAAGTACAAGGATTGAAATCCACTTCAGTACGCAACCACGCCCACTACCATCTAAATATCGTTTAGGTTTCTATTTAATGCAGTCTCAGTCAAGCCGAGACGAAGAATAATCTTTGTTGTCAGTAGAGTAAAAGATTAGTTCATTATTTTGCCCATAACATGTTTTGGATATGTAACGTTCAAAGGGATTTATGATGAAATTTCTGTCCTTCCCTTGCTTTTTTTATCGGATTTCTTAAACCATCCGTAAGCCTAATTATAATTATTAATAACGGAAAAATATTTTCTTCTACATTCTACAGCATTTCCTACTAATTTATCAACATCTTACGTTTAATCAAATAGCAGGTTTTCCGATGTTTCCGTCCAAAGCAAAACTGGAAAACATTCAAAGAGGCAGAACAGCGGCCGCTGGAAATGTGCCAGACACTTGTGGCATTGTTGTTCCGTTTGACATATCTCAGCTGAGTAATCCTCGAAGGCAGACGACAATTGTCCGTCTCATTTGCCAGAAATGTCGTGTCGATGCGGTCATAAACCAAACTCACTTCTGTCATTATTCATCAGTTAAACAAAATCATTTTGAATGTGGATCGAAATCGTTATCTTGCAATCTCTTGAATTTATTTTAGCGCGGATTTATCGGACTGAGAGAAAATAAGGCAGTTCGAATCTGAAGTTAAAAAAACCTGTCGCCTGATGTTTATAAACAGAAATTTATACAAACTTTTCTTAGTCCTCGACGATTGTTTACAACTGCCATACATCTTCCTCTCTCGCTTAACACTCTAATAATATACCCAAGGGTGATAGTCCACACACAAAAAATATTTATATGAGTTCATTGACGTTAAAAATCGACAGTATTTTGAGCGAGATGGAGAAGTAGACAGTTGAAAGAGTTAATTACAGTCAAATTATATATCATATACATTAGGTATCGCCAAAAAGTATATTGATGTATTGAAATGTATCCCACTTTCATCTTGTAGGGGCAAAATGGGATGTACACATGACCTGGATTTTACTGAAACGGCGTAAAGTCCGCCCCTTGGAATTTAAGATTTGGTAAAATGTAGTTTGGTTAAATATTTACGTAAGCACTTATGTAATTAGCTGGACCACACTAATCTGCATATTCTCCCTGATTTTGTCCTCCAGATGCATCCGACACTTGGCTTTGGTTGGTCTAATAGACATTTATGTAAAAGTAAAGAACTCATTACTTGATAGGCATATGGAAGGAAGCATGTTGGACTGAGACTTAAGGATGAAGTAAGAAGTTCGGCAATCAGGAAAAGGACTTTCCGCCCAATCAATATGTGCCGACTGGATAGACCACGTTTGTAATTCTGTTGAAAAAAACAAGAATACGGAAAGAAAGTGCACAAGATGCATTAGATCGTTTAGTTTTATGTGACGAATTCTAAATAATGACTGTGGTGGATTATTAGGGAATTGTGGAGGTATGAACCTCTTCAGATTTAGAGTTAGGACGGATTGTGTTGCTTTGTCGTCATGTTGGCCTCTTGTGACAACAAACCTGCACAAACACGAAAGAAAGGCCGCAGTCGACAGTAGCGAGACCACCTCATTGTAAACAGCCTCGGTACTGAGTACAAAAAAGCAAACTAGGCTTTGCTCAGAGAGGCCTTGTGTCGTAAGAATCACGAATTTGGTCCTCCGGGCAGAATATCTGTTTCTTTTTCCAAAACCCTTTCCTCGATATTTTCCTGTTTTTTTTCAGAATTTACATTGATAATTGATTGAAAGATAATTAATTTAAAAATATATAAACTTCTTTCAGGCATAAATATCCTAAATGGAAATTCTCACAATAGAATCTATCGTAAATATGACGTCAGCTACTTTGCCAGTGTATTCTCTTTCGGAACGGGAATTAGCTTAAAATATAATACCTTCTAGTTGCTTAATGGTCATGGGAGATATATCATCGACATCTTTATTATGTGTGACTATGTATCATATAAAATATCTGGGCACAATCAGAGTTCTACTGATTGCTCACACTGACCTTTGCGTTGTAAAGATTCACGAATTTGGTCATCCAGACCACTTGGCTACATCTAATAAATTGTGTTTATGATTATTATCGAAGTTAATCACTTTACTGCTTTTGTAAGTTGGCAATTTTGTGTAATGTATTTTTCTTAATTTACATCATAAAAGAAAACAACATTAAATTGGCCCTTTTTGCGGTTTTTGAACTTTAAAATGCGTAAACAATTGGAGTTGAAATTTAGTTTGTATGGGTATATTTTTTGTCATATACAATGAAATGAAAACTTTGGAAAAATATAGGCTATTTTTATTTATTAATCTATTTATTATAAAATGAATGAATGCGAAACAAAGAAGATTTCTGATAACAAATGTTATGAGAACTTTTTCATAAATAGCACGTACTTAAATTCCAACGAAAATTGTTATCCACTTTATGCTAAATTCGTTGAGTAAATGTGCCTCAAAAAAATTTCTATACTATCAACAACCTCTGCGAGTTGTTGGTTCGTTACTTTATTTGTTAAAAAAAAAGCTAGAATTTCCTATTCTGTAGCTATATAAAATTTGTTTACATTATTGTTTATAGCGTTAATGTCAAATCTACATAATATGTTATAAATTTTCAACAACCGGTCTCTTTTTTAAAATTAGAATTTCATTTTATGTATTTACCCAACCGAGGCGTGAGTGACGTGTGCTGAAACGGAATTAGAACCACGGATCAAAAAAGGATTTGCCGTTAGTGGGACGCAACGTGACAGGAAGGACATGTTGTTGAAAGTTGAAGTGCAACAAGCACAGAGGGACTTCCCTCGTCCAGCTATTCAACATCAAGCTCCCCCCATCGTAAACTCCCCTGAGCACATATGAAACTGGTTTCTTTTACATCAAAAACAGAAATTTACGTGAGATTTTAAAGCACGCTGTGGGACACCGACCTGAATGAGATGTGATTATCGGCCACACGCGCACCACGGCAACAGTTGGGGTTTGTCAATTAGAATTATTGTCGAGATTTCGCAGACAGTCGGCCTTTGATCTTTGTACGCGATTATGGTGAAGAGAACCAGAGACCGCGGTTTGTTCCTGTGATTGACCTAGTTGGACGAACTTGGCAAATCTGCCAAGCCGAATCCGTCTGGTTGGTAAGAAAATCCAGAAACACGAATACTTTACATCCCTTTTCATTCTGAATAAATTAAAATACAATTTGAAAGACAACGAATATTGTGTACAATACTGTCTGGATTATCAAATAATAAGTGGTGAAAATTTAAACTTTACTATAAATTATTAAAACTTTTCTTATTTGCAGCAATAATTAAGTTACCTTTGGTATGATGAACCTGTTTTTTGATCGTTCCTGACCATTTTGTTCAGCATACCCTCGCTGTTTTGGTCTGTCAGACATGTTTCGATTTCGCCATTTTCAATGGGCAAACACACCACTGGAGATGGCGAGAAGACGAACCGCATCTGACAGAAAAACCAGGATAGACGGACCAAAATAATCGAAAACGACAAAATTGCAAATGACGTTTTTAAACAGTAAATAATTGCCTGAAACCGTCCCTCGGTTCCTCAGCGAGTGGAAGAACACATGGAACTGATCGATACAAATCATCACTCATTCGTGTTTCACGCCATCTTCAGTCGACAGTTCCTCACTCGAAATCATGTCGAAAAGAACCCGGAAGAAGTATTCTTTTTAGTTAACCTTATCCACGATTATTTTGAATATAAAACTATAATATTGAATGTAGATGACGCGGTGGCCAAGAGGTTAGTACGTTTTCTGGGTTCGATTCCTGTCATAGCACTTGGATTTTTATTTGAGATTAATTTTTTTAACGAGGGTTAGCAACAGCAGAGGTATATTCTCGGGTGTCGGTGTTTTTGAAAAAAAGCCCATTTCCTGCTGGATTCGAACTGGGGACCTTTCATATTCATTCCAATAAAATATCATTTCCCAACACCCGTCACCAACAGACAAGTTTAGTCACATTCCCTCCCCCGGAATGCTCGATTTTCCTCGGGGCGGGGTCAAACCCATCCACGGTAATAGGAATAATTTATTTTTACTCTCCCGACGTCACACGCTCACCCCTCATCATTAGTGATATAGTTTTGGTATTTTGTTAAGATCAAATATTGTGAAAAGGTATGGAACCACAAAGACCGTATTTTTTTTCAATATCTCTAGCTTCAAATCTGTAGTATACAAAGAATAGTAAACGAAAATGGATTGGTTCTAATAAACCAAATAGACTTAAAAAAGTGATATCGGAAATGACCATTTTTGGGCTCTCTTTAACTACAATAAATGATCTTCAAAAAATATTGAAATCAGTGCTCTGCTGAAAAAGAAATGCATGTCAGTATTATAATTCATACATCCTCTCTATATAGAGAATTAAAAACGGGGAGTCTAGGAAAAGATATGCCAATGGGTGGAAGAAGATCAAGGAACAGGATAATCACATCCACCTTGGGCGGTGCGACCATCCGGGGTAAGACAGCCAGGGGACCCCCCCCCCTTTTGGGCATCCCCTGGCTGTCTTAGCCTCACTACTGTAGACGACATTGGTAGACGAACTCCTACAAATGCTAGAACAAAAAGGATTCTACTGTCTATGCTATGCGGGCGACTACGGCATAGTTAAAGGGCCACCATATAGATCTGGTTGACAGGTGGTGCAAAAAGGAGGAGCTATTTATTACAAAACCATAATGATTCCATTCAGATGGAAGAGGACAAACGAAACCTAAAACCTCCAAGTCTAAAAGGGACCCCGCTCCCATTTTCCAAGGAAGCCATCTAGGGATCTCACTAGACCAGCGGCTCACCTGGAATCCACATTTGTATAAAACCACCCAAAGAGCAAAAATTGCCTGGGGGAGGTCCTATGTCTTAAGACCAATGTTGACATATAGGACGGGGGTGTAGTGAACCAAGACTCTGCAGGTCAAAGCAATCAGGCACTTAAGTGGCACTAAAAGACAAGCTTGCCTCAGTTTCACTGGAGCTATTAGAATAACGCCATCTGTGGCCCTGGAAGTGTTGTTAAACCTAACACCATTTCAAATTTTCACCCAAGGAGAAGCCAAAGCAGCAGCGGCTCACAGGTTCATAAATGGACAATCATCTACAAGGATAGGCCGTGTAAATAAACAATGGAAATGAAGGAGGACATACAAACTGATGCTATAACCGATGCCACTACTCCAAAATACAATTTTACTGTAAAGTACGAGATACTGATACCAGAACGGGAAGAATGGGCCAAAGAAAAGTAGAACGCAAGAGACAGGGCACTGCCACTTAAGAAAGCACATGCACCATTCAGGCCTTGTGGCCGCCTCTTCTATCCTGTACGATAGGAATTACATTACATTAAATATTGAAGTCTGACACTTTGTATAGGAAATAAGCTGCATAGTGAGCAAAGTTGGATTTGTTGGCTAAACAACATAAGTATATTTATTTCAATACAGATAATGTTTTAATTAACCAACCTATTGAATTTCAACCCATATTACTGAATGAAAGTTTTTTTTATAGTGTTACCTGTTTATAAACCTACCTACAAACTATTCCATGTTTG